TCAAACAGTTTGATTTTTAGTGTGGCTACAATAAACAATATGGCCTTGTCCTTCCCTCCTCCCCCACCCCACCCGGGCTACCTTGTCCATTATCTCATTTTTTTAGATTAATAAAGAAAGAATGCATGGTTTCAAAACAATAGTTACTTTATTTCGAAGGGGGGAGGGTGGTTGGCTTACAAGGAATTAAAATCAACAAAGGGGGTGGGTTTGCATCAAGGAGAAACACAACTGTCACACCGCATCCTGGCCAGTCATGAAACTGATTTTCAAAGCCTCTCTGATGCGCAGCGTGCCTTGATGTCACCCTGGTGTCTGGCTGCTCAAAAACGGATGCCAAGTGATTTGCCTCAACCTCCCACCCTGCCATAAACGTCTCCCCCTTACTCTCACAGATATTATGGAGCACACAGCAAGCAGCAATAACAATGGGAATGTTGGTTGCACTGAGGTCTGACCAACTGCACCCGCGAGCTTTTAAACGTCCAAAGGCACATTCTACCACCATTCTGCGTTTGCTCAGCCTATAGTTGTACTGCTTCTTACTACTGTCCAGGCTTCATGAGCCATGGGAGCAAGGGGTAGGCTGGGGTAGGTGTGACCGCGTGGTGCTCCCAGCTTGGAGAGCAGCCTGAGGCAGAAGCCTCCAGCTCGCAGGAGAGCAGAGTTGCAGCGGAAGCGGTGGAGCCGTACACCATGCCCTGGAGGTTGCTAGGAGCCGGGCAGGGAAGACATTCTCAGAACCCCCGGCCAAGCTACATGTCCAAAAAGGACTGCTCCCAGTCCTACTGCACCGTCTGCTGCAGAGTACCAGGAGAGCAGAGTTGCAGCGGAAGCTAGCCATGGTATGGCATTTGCATGGGTAACCCAGGAAAAAAGGCGTGAAATGATTGTCTGCCATTGCTTTCATGGAGAGAGGGGCGACTGACAAAACCACCCGCGACAATGTGTTTGCCCCATCAGGCATTGGGAGCTTAATCCAGAATTCCAGTGTGCAGCGGAGACTGCGGGAACTACCCACAGTGCACTCCTCTGTAAGTCGATGCTAGCATGGTAGTGAGGACGCACTCTGCCGACTTAATGCGCTTAGTGTGGACATATGCTATTGACTGTATAAAATCGAATTCTAAAAATTGATTTCTATAAAATTGACCTAATTTTGTCATGTAGACATACCCATAGTTGCCTCTTTATTAGGCATAACAATACAAAATGATATATCTGGTAAATTCTTTCCTAGGCCCAAAGCAAAGTGCAGAAAAAAAGTAGAACAAACTCTGTCAGGGTGCTGATTCAGCTTTCTTTATTAGCTAATTAAAGAGCTCAAAGGAGAAAGATGTAAAATTAAAGACAGGTACAAGTGTGGTTGTAATGCCTCTCCTACATATCTCATTCCCAGATTACAAAGACAGAAGGCAAAATCTTTCAGAATTACAATGGGGCGGAGGCTAAAACAAAGGTCAGTATACAATAGGTTATCAAAAGAACAGTTTCTGTGTAGATTGCTCTTAATAAAATCTACATGTCTATTGGCTAAGTCTATTTGAGACTTTTTTCTTCTCACATTTCCCTCTGGCAATAGCAAGAGTATAGAAAAGACACACCTGTGGCAGATGGCATTTTAACCAGCATTACCTAGACCTGCTCTGTGCAGGATTAGACAGCGCAGTAGTTAAAATGCTAGCACCCATGCTAGTGTTTTTGTTATTACTACCACTGGTGAAGTTGCAAGAAAGGGAATTTGAGCATGAAAAGTCAAATGTAGATACAGCATATTGAGATTCCTTTTTTGAAGTAAAAATAATTGGATCATTCTGCTTTCAAATGTTGATTGTTTATTAAGAAGTTTTGATATCTAGTTTTTATGACCAAAATTGTCAAATTGAAATTTGGTTTCCCTATATGTTCCCCTAAAGGTGTGTGTTTTGTCCTGTTTTATGATGAACAATAATCATTTTGTTTTCAATTTCTGGCTAGTTTTACTGAAGTAATATATGTCCATTTATTTCTTCCATTGTGCACTGTCCTCCTTGTTGCAAGGACAAATAAAGTGACCTGTGGATTTGGAATATTTTAATTTAAATGCTTGAGATTATTTATTTGTAATATTTAGATAATCCACTCAAGGTCAGGGCCCCATTGTGCTAGGTGTTGTACATACACATAGTAAGAGACAGCTACTGCCCCCAAAAGAATTTACAGTACAAATAGACAAGATAAACAACGCTTGGGGAAAAGAAGGAATTATTATCCACATTTTCTAGATGGAGAAACTAAGGCAGAGAAAGATCAAGTGACTTGCCTAAGGTCACATAGGGAGTCTGTGGCAGAGCTAGGAACTAAACCCAAATTTATGGGATCTCAGTCCAGTGCTTTAACCACCAGACCTTCCATTCTCCTTTAATGTCCTTGATATGCCCTTTATTTGTAGGACAGGTGTTTTGCAAAAAGTTGATTCCTACAGTACCTTGTTAGTTTTTCATTGCTGATATTCCAGTTGGTGTTTGCTTTTTACCAATTTTTGTCTGAGATTTGTAGCTGTGCTTATAAGCGGGGTTGGTAGCACTGCCTATTATTAAGATTATAAAACCCCGTTTTCAGTTGTCCATAACTTTGTTGAACTTTAACTGTTTTGGGCCAAATTTTCCTTGCTAGGTGTCTGCACCAGGCTGAGGTTTGTTTACAAACTGTTCAGCTTTTTACAGTGCTTAATTTGTAATGAAAGAGGTGCCAGAGCTTAAGCAATTCTTTACATTCATAATTGATGCAGCAAGGTAAGCCTAGAGGTGCCGGGGCTCAGGCTTGGCAAGCCCTGTCATAAATTAAACACTGGCTGTTTACAAGAATGAGGCTAGGAAACATACATTAGCATGGCTACACTTACAAATGTAGAGCGTTTTGAGTTAAACCAGCCTTCCGTAGAGTGCAGCAGGGAAAGCGCTGCAGTCTGTCCACCCTGACAGCTGCAAGCGCGCTGGCGTGTCCACATTTGCGGCACTTGCAGTGGTATTGGGAGCAGTGCATTGTGCGTAGCTATCCCACAGAGCACCTCTTCCCATTCTGGCGCTGTGGTTTGTGGGAAGGGTGCGAGGGATGCGGGGCATTCTGGGTCCTGTCCCAATGCCCTGTGATGCATCGGTTCCCATCCCAGCAATCCCTCTGCTTCCATCCACAACATTTTTTTTACTGCGCGCTCTGTCTTCCCTTTCGGTCTGCAGGAATGGAGCCCGAACTGCTGAGGAATATGCTAACGAGCCTCGCCAGCACATCAGGTTTGGCAGTCGAGTTATTCCTTATGATACAAAGTGACAGTTACGACTTTGACGATGATATAGACGCGAGTAATGCATACGACACGAGATTGCTTGTGGCATTCACAGACATGCTCACCACCGTAAAACGGTACTTTTGTGCTCGGGGAAACAAGCACTGAGTGGTGGGATCACATTGTCATGCAAGTCTGGGATGATGAGCAGTGGCTGCAGAACTTTCAGATGAGAAAAGCCACTTTCATGGGACTGTGTGAGGAGCTCGCCCCCACCCTGAGGCACAAGGACATGAGATTGAGAGCTGCCCTGATGGTGGAGAAGCGGGTGGCTATTGCAATCTGGAAGCTGGCAACTCCAGACAGCTACCGATTGGTCGCTAACCAGTTTCGAGTGGGGAGGTTGACTGCTGGAATCATGTTGATGCAAGTTTGCAGGGCAATTAATCGCATCCTGCTCTGAAGAACCGTGACTCCGGGTAACGGCTGGCTTTGCAAAAATGGGTTTCCCTAACTGCGGAGGGGCAATAGATGGGATGCATATTCCAATTCTGGCACCAGCCCACCTAGCCTCCGAGTACGTTAATTGGAAGGGCTATTTCTCTATGGTTCTCCAGGCGCTTGTGGATCACTGTGGGCATTTCATTGACATTAACGTAGGCTGGCCTGGAATGGAGCATGACACACGCATCTTTCGGAACGCTGGCCTGTTCAGAAATCTGGAAGCCAGGACTTTTTTCCCAGACCAGAAGATCACGTAGGGGAAGTCAAAATGCCCATTGTGATCCTTGGAGACCCCGCTTACCCTTTAATGCCGTGGCTCATGGAACCCTACACAGGGAGCCTTGACAGCAGGAAGCAGCGGTTCAACAACAGGCTGAGCCAGTGCAAAATGACTGTGGAGTGTGCTTTTGGCCGTTTAAAGGGCCACTGGTGCTCTCTGTATGGGAAGCTGGACCTGGCCAATAACAGCATCCCTGCGGTTTTATCTGCGTGCTGTACCCTCCATAACATTTGTGTAGGAAGGGTGAAAAATTCACTCAGGCATGAAACTTTGAGATTCAATTCGTGGAGGCTGAATTTGAAGAGCCAGAGAGCAGGGCTATTAGAGGGGCCTAGTGCGGGGCTGCAAGGATTAGGGATGCCTTGAGGGAGCAATTTGATGCTGAAAGCCACCAGTAATGTGTGGTGCCCTGCACGGGGGTGAAGTGCAATGGTTCCAATGTTAGTAGGAATCTGTGTTTGCTGTGTATGATACACTGACTTGCAGTGCCTGTTGGTTTCCTGGGCTAAGGTATCTTTTACGTTAATCAATAATAAAAAATGTTTTCAAAGCAAAAAAATCCATGTAATGAAAAGAAAATGCACTTACTGAAAAGAAACACAACTGCTTGGGAAACACAAAGGGGTGGGGTGGGGAACGGTACAATCACAGGTTTGCGTATGTCCTGTTATCATACTCAGTCTTCCTGTTTGGAGTGCTGTGCAATGAGTACTGCACTTCAGGATGGCTGTACTGCATGGTGATGGGGGGTTGAGTGCAGTGGGTAAGGGTCGTAGTTTTCAGGGCTGGGGGGGTGAAGCTACAGCTGGTGGCAATAAGAACCCAGATGTTGGGGAAAGTGGGTTGGAGGTGACATGGGGGCACAAGGGAAAGAGTTTTGGGACAAGGGCTGCAGTGGGGGGGCGGGGGCGGTAGTGCTCTGCCTGCATGGCTACGAGCGCCTGGATCGAGTCCGCTTGGCGCTCCATGATGCTTGTCAGCCGCTCTGTGCTTTGGTGCCAGCAAGCTGCATTCTGCTGGCGGACCCTCCTTTCACTCTCCCGCCACTCCTGCACTTTTTGATTTTCATTAAGGGAGTGCTGCATGACTTCATGCAGCATGTCTTCTTTGCTTCTACGTGGCTTCTTCCTGATTCTTTGCAGCTCCTCGGCTGGTGATCACATGGACAGCTGAGATCTCAAGGTTGCATCTGTAAAGGCAAAATGCAACACTTAACAGAGGCAGCATTGTTCACACAGACAGAGCAATGATTCCCCCATACTTAAGGGCAAGCACAGTCTACACAATAGCATAATTTGCCTGTCCCAAAGCGAGCGCACATAACCCACGGGATCCCCAAAATGGTGAGTAAGCACAGGGTCAAGGAGGACTGATTCTTTCATGGCTGTACTGTCCTCTGGATTTCTGTGTTTTGGGGAGAGCCAACAGCTGCAGGGGGCTCCTATACTGAACACTGTCCCCACATTTTCCACAGGAGTTCGTCCTGGAAGAAATCTTGCTGCTGAGGGTGACCTGGGAAACAAGGGAGGGTCTTCTACTACAATGTGGCTTCCGCCCTGGCCCATATGCAGCTTGCCTGTGTGCAGCAGTGGTCCCCTCACCCCTCACGGCACAGTGGCGTGGACATGTTAGCCTGACTGGGACAAGGACCACAGTGGCTCTCCCACGAAACCTGTGCAAGCGCATTGCCCAAGTTCTGAATGAGACCTTTGAAGAGATCACTGAAGCCGATTACCACGATGTGAGAGAGCACATCAATGCCCTATTCCACATCTAGGCATGCATGCAGCCCTAACCGTCCTTGCCCCAAGAGCCCGCACCGAATAACTTCCCAAAATAAAAGCTGCTTACCAGGAACCTCCTCCAGTGTTTGTCCTTCCCCAAGCACCAGCCGCCGCAACTGACTACCTTCCTCCTGGCTTGAGAACAGCTCCTGGCTGCATGCATCTAGGGATGCCGGGGTGTCTTCCTCCTCCTCAGCATGCTCACTCCCGCTTTGCTCCTCCTCCTCCTGCCTTGTTGGACTGTACTCTGAAGTGTCCATGGTGGTACTCGGAGTGGAGGTGAGGTCGCCCCCAAGTGTCACGTCCAGCTCTTTGTAAAAACGGCAGGTCGTGGGGGCAGCACTGGAGTGGCTGTTTGCCTCGCGGGCTTTGCAGAAGACATTCCGCACCTCCTTCACTTGAACCCTGCACTGCAGAGCATCCCAGTCATGGTCCCTTTCCATCATGTCCCTTGATATCTGCCTGAAGATATTGTAATTCCTGTGGCTGGAGTTCAGCTGGGACTGGACAACTTTCTCCCCGCAAACACTAATGAGGTCCAGCACCTCGCCATTGCTCCATACTGGGGATTGCTTGGAGGCATGGTCACCTGGAAAGATTCGCTGAGAGCACTCCACGCCTGGCTGAGCAACAGGAAGGGGATTTTCAAAATTCCCAGAGCATTTAAAGGGCGGGTCTGACGGTTGGTCACCTGAGGGCAGGGCAGTAGGTTCAAAGTGATGACCAGAGTGGCTAGAACAGGCATTGTGGGACACTTCTGGAGGCCGATCAAAGCGCATTAACAGACCAGGGCGTCCACACTGGTGCTGCAGCGCTCCAGCGGAGGCACATCAAACATTATTCCACTCACCGAGGTGGAGTACCAGGAGCGCTCTAGCCGCGAAGTCAGAGTGCTCTACATGCCTTGCCAGTGTGGACGCATCATGAGTTAGGGTGCCCGGTGCTGCTTTCATGCACTCTAACTCACAAGTGTTGCCATGCCCATTGTTTTGGCCACGTTAAAAATTCTGTCAACCTTTTCTTTGAAAAGCTCTAGTGCCCCCATGCTTTGGAGGAGGGACTTGAAATGTGGCAGGATGGTGGCCTTTGTGCCAGGTATATGCCTTTTACCATCCCCTTTAAATCAGCCCGAATGTGGCAAAGTTATAAACCTTTGATAAATCTCAGCTTGCACATGTTCAGAGACTTCTTGTATTTTAACAGCTAGATTCCTTGAAGAGTGTGTCCACACTGAGCTTTGTTCCAGCCTGGGGCTAAGCATCACTCCCTGCAATTGCAGTTCAGGGCTGCTGTGAGCCATGCTGGGCCTGGAGTTGAGTACAGGTCTGAGCACTTGCACAGAGAACAAGGAGCTTGCAGTGACCGCCCTTCTGCCCCTCTCTCCCCACAGGTGGGCCCAGGCAGCATGGAAGATGAAGCTGCCTGATTCAAATGCAGAGGGGACCAGAACTTGACATACAAGGGGAAAGTGAGGGGAGTAGATTGGGACAAGGAGCCTGGAACTGGAGGCTGGTAGGGATAGTGGGACTTGCTTGTCAAAGAGACTGGGACTGGGAACCTGTAGGTAGAGGGAGACTGAGACTGGGTGAGGTGTCAAGGGGTGACTGGGAATGAGAGCCAGTCGTGTGGGGAGAAGGAGGTGAGGGGGAAGGGGAAACATTTGAGAAGGATCCAGGGTGTGGGGGAAGAACTGGGGCTGGCTGGGCAAAGAGAGTGGGACAAGGAACTGGGGTTGTGGAGAGAACAACTCTGAGATTGGATAAGGAGTTGGGGAGGGAGATTGGAACTGGGAGCCAGAGGGGATGGGGAATGTGAGGGGGGTGACTGGAGGCCAAGGCTGGGGAGAGACATATTGGATGAAGAGCCAGGAAGGAGGGGAACTGGCATAGGTTGGGTAGGGAGATTGGGGATGTCATAAATATAAAGGGAAGGGTAAACACCTTTAAATCCCTCCTGGCCAGAGGAAAAACCCTTTCACCTGTAAAGGATTAAGAAGCTAAAATAACCCCGCTGACACCTGACCAAAATGACCAATGAGGAGACAAGATACTTTCAAAGCTGGAGGGGGGGAAACAAAGGGTTCTCTCTGTCTGTGTGATGCTTTTGCTGGGACCAGAGCAGGAATGCAGGTCAGAACTCCTGTAAAAAGTCAGTAAGCAATCTAGTTAGATATGCGTTGGATTCTGTTTTGTTTAAATGGCTGATAAAATAAGTTGTGCTGAATGGAATGTATATTCATGTTTTTGTGTCTTTTTGTAACTTAAGGTTTTGCCTAGAGGGATTCTCTATGTTTTGAATCTGATTACCCTGTAAGATATTTACCATCCTGATTTTACAGAGGTGATTCTTTTACTTCTTCTTTTCTTCTTTTAAGAACCTGATTGCTTTTTCATTGTTCTTAAGATCCAAGGGTTTGGGTCTGTGTTCACCTATGCAAATTGGTGAGGATTTTTATCAAGCCTTCCCCAGGAAAGGGGGTGTAGGGCTTGGGGGGATTTTGGGGGGTAAGACGTTTCCAAGTGGGCTCTTTCCCTGTTATGTATTCGTTAGACGATTGGTGGTGGCAGCAATAACGTCCAGGGACAAAAGGTAAAATAGTTTGTACCTTGGGGAAGTTTTAACCTAAGCTGGTAAAAATAAGCTTAGGGGGTTTTCATGCAGGTCCCCACATCTGTACCCTAGAGTTCAGAGTGGGGAAGGAACCTTGACAGGGGACAAAGAATTGGGGGTGGGGAATTGGAATGGCTGGGCAAGGAAAGTGGGATTGGACTGGAGAATGGGACTAGGATGGGGGGCATGCAGAGGGTTGAGACTAGGATTTGCAGAGCAAGGAGACTGGGACGGGGAAGCCTGAGGAATGGAAACTTGAACTGGCTAGATGAGGAGATTGGGACAAGTGGAGAAGAGACAGGATTGGGATGGGGACAGGGCAGAAGGAATCATGCTTGTGGAGGGAATGGACAGAAGAGCACACTCCCCTCCAGAGCCTGGACTGGAACCCAAGATTTGTGAGTCTCACCATTCCTTTGTTGTCAACAAATATCTGTGAAACGCATCCCCTTCTAATGCTATTCAACATAGATGATGACAACCTGCTAATTCCATCAATTATTCTGTTAGCTTGAGTGACAGAAGTCTGTGTGGTGGATCAAAAGATTCCAGCTCTGGTGATGACCTGTGAGGGTGTCAGTATGATGCCACATGATGGAATTTCTGTTTTTTTTCAATTTGCTTTTTTAAAAACTGAGGAAACTGCACACACACAACCACATTAAAAGAACATTTTTAAGGTTACATGTGATCATGAAATTAAAGTCTGTATCAAAATGCATACACACAAGAGGACCATGTTAAGGTTACACAGGCAACCTTAATTCTAGCATCTCCTAACTTTGAAGTACTTGTCTTTGTTAATGTAATAATGTTCTTTTAACTGAGATTTTTTGGGGGGGGGAGGGTAGTGTAGAAAAGATATTTTCAACTTCCTTTCATGTGGTAGTTTTAAGCAGTATAACTCACAAAGGAAAAACATTCTTAACTTGAGAACCATTTTCTTGTTCCTTTTAGTGGCATGGTCTGTGTAATTAGGAAGTGTAAGAAATGTTCAGCTCCATTAGTGGTAGCAATCATCTTGAAAGAGAGAGAGGAGGGTTTGTTCTGATTTGACTTAGTCCTACCAGGGGCACTGGAACAGAGCGGGCCAGGGGGCCATAGCCCCATTATTTTTTACTGGCCATAAGGGTGAGTGATTTGGGGGTGGGGATCAAGGGGAGGAGAGGAGCAAGTTGGGGACAGGGACTCGGGGAATGGGCGGGGTGAGGGTGGAGACTCGGGGAAGGGGTGGCACATGGCGTGGGGCCATGGTTCGGGTGACTGTGGCACCCCAACTTTTAAGGACCTTCTGTCGCCCCTGAGTCCTATATGATGTTTTTGTACAACTTTGTATTTGTGTTCGTGTTCGTGTTCTTTCTCTTCTTTAACACAATTACTACTTCTACATCTTGCTTATTTACACAAATCATAGAATCATAGAATTATCAACTATTATTATTAATTGTTTGTGCTGTTACAGTCAGGATTGCAGTGCCATTGTGCTAGGTGCTGTACAATAGCTCACCCTCTACAATTTGGTCTTGCTCCTAACAGGTACTAAAGATCCTGCAGTATAGAAGTGCTAATATACTCTGGTTGTTTCCATTAAATTGCAAACTGTAACAACTGTGAAGTATTGTTTTTTTCCACAAAAACAAACACTATGATGGTATTTTCTGAAGCAGTTTTGCAACAGCTGTCACCAAAGTGAAAGAGTCTGTAATTACTGGGAGTGTTTCCTCCCATCCACAACAGTTTTATCCAGAAATGTCCCCCATCATTAGAAATCCATCCTATAATTAAAGATTAAAACCAGAACATAAGGTAATAATTTGCCACTTTCAATTTGTCTTTTAGAAGTTTATATTTTCTAGCTGAGGCGTTTGTTGTGTTTGAACCTTTCCACCCCTTGGCAAGAACTTGAACTACATTTCACTTTACCTCATTTTCCTGCCCCAACCCCACTGGTTAAAAAGATGTGAGAGCTGGGTGTAAGACATTTGCCTTCGAGAAATGGAAGCCTCTGATTCTCTGACGACATCACATCACATTACAGAATTATTTTTGCACCAGCCAGCATAATGTTTTTTTGCTATATATAGGAACTATGCCACCTTCCCTTTAAGTTGCTCTGGCACTGAAAATGAGGACATGAGTGTTGAAGGTGGTGTGAAACAGGTTTATCCAGCTCCCCATTTCCAATAACTCTTTATCATTCTCTGGAGCCAGTAGCAAGGCACATAAAAGATTTGCCACTGGAAAAGTCCTCTTTTTTTTTTTCTGTCTCCCAAAATTACAGTTTCTTTCTTGTGCAATGTAGAAAATATAAAATATGAGTGAATTGCTTTCTCAAGTTAAAAATAGTCAGAATGATTCACTGTTGCATCCTTGTAAAAATTGGATGGGACTGTGACAGAGGATGTAGCTCTCTGCATTCTGAATCTCCTCTCCCCCACTTCTTCTATTACTGGTTCCTTGTGAAAAACTCATTGTTTTAGGGTAGTGAGATTGTAACAGCATACATATCCTGCAAATGTGCCAGTTATTGCCCCTTCTTCCGGAACTGAACGTTATTTCAGTTTCAACGTACAAAACATAAACAATTGCTCCTCCCAGAGACAGCACGTTTGACAAATGATTAAAAACACAATCCAAATTGACCACAAATAGCATGAACAAACTGTCTTCCTCACCCCTCCAAAAAAATCCATAGTATAACATGGAAATTTCCTTACCTGAGATCCCATAAAACCCCAGTTCCCCTCCAAAAAAATCCCAAATTTACTCTTTAGTTGCCAAATATTTTTCCAGTCATAGAATTTTCAGCCACTTTATTATAAAAGTGTCACCTAGTAAGTGGAAACAGTATGAGAATGCTGCATGCTTCCCAATCACTGCACTCTTTGTCTTAATATTCACTGCTGATCAGTGATGTGCACACTGAATGTTGCTGGGATGATGCCAAAAAGTGTGTTTTTTCACTGTCCTCCACATCCTATAACAATAAAAAATTTGCCAGACGTATCACCACCTTCATTCCCACAACCCATTGTTGAGTTAATGCTCAAAAGTCTGCATTTGTGTGATAAATGGAGTGGGGAAGGGGGTAGCCCCCTTTTATGGACACCCACCCAACCAGTTAGCTATAAAATCCCTGTTGCTTTACGTGTAAAGGGTTAAAAAAGCCCATAGGTAAAAGGAAGGGAGGGGCCACCTGACCAAAAGAGCCAATGGGAGGGCTAGAACTTTTTAAAATTGTGGAAAAAACTTTCCCTTTGTCTGTCTGTGGTTGTTTTCCCGGAGAGCAGGGACAGGGCTGAAACTATGCTGTAAGAAGCTTTAAGCCGGGTATGAAAAACCATCAAATCATACCTAGAACTACTTATTTGAAACCCCAGATATGTAAGTAGATCAGGAAATGTCTAGGAAGGCGCGATTAGGTTTATCTCTTTTATTTCTTTATGGATTGTGGACTCCTCTGTGCTAACCCAAGGTGCTTTTGTTTTGCTTATAACCTTTAAACTGGACCTCAAGAAAACCATTCTTGATTGCTTAATTATTATATTTCCTCTTTTTAAATCAGCAATAGCCTAAGTTCCAGATGTATTTTCTTTCTTTGTTTTTTAATAAAATTCGCCTTTTTTAAGAACAGGATTGTCGTAAGAGGTTTGTGCATATGTTGTTTAAATAGCTGGTGGCAACAGCTGATTTCCTTTGTTTTCTTTCTCAGCTCTTCCCTGGAGGAGGGGCAGGGTGAAAGGGCTTGAGGGTACCCCACAGGGAGGAATTCCCAAGTGTACCTTCCTGGGTCCGAAGGGGTTTTTTTGCACTTGAGTGGTGGCAGTATTTACCCACCCAAGGTCAGAGAAAAGCTGTAACCGTGGGAGTTTAATACCAGCCTGAAGTAGCTAGTATTAATTTTTAGAATCCTTGCGAGCCCCCACCTTCTGCACTCAAAGTGCCAGAGTAGGGAATCAGCCTTGACAATTTGTTTAACACA